GAAGCGTAATCGGAGACAATGACACACAAAGTGTGCCCCTGATGTCCATTCTGCTCCGTAGCTTTGTTTTGGTCGCTGTAACCTCAGAAAAGATTTTTTAGATAAGATGCATCTTGAACCCAATTAACCTGTGTCAAGAGGCACAGATGCACCGACTGATGCAATTGGGAGAGAATACCCCAATTTTTTATATTTTTCAAAATAAAACATCACTCAGACTCTGATCGTCGATAAATTATATATATGTATTTTTTTTTCTGTGCGGCCCGGTACCAAATGACCGACGGACCGGCGCCAGTGGTTGGGGACCGCTGATCTAGAGGACCTAAATATGAAATAGGAGAAAGTTCGAACCATACACTATAGCTTATAGTACCAGCAGAAACACCTTAGATTATATCATCAAAGTTTCAAGGTTTTCAAATCTCCAACTAACAGTTTTTTTCCCTGAAATTTTCGATTCCTGTGTAATTATCTTTTTCATCTTTCATTTCCATGTAATCCTAATAGATTAAAATGGATACCATGGCAGGCCAATATTCCAGGCTGATGCTACAATTTCCTTTTTACTTTTGTATCGACATTAGCCGATGTATGCGTTCTCCTATTCTTTAGTGCATTAATCAGACATTTCCTGAAAAGACATGAGACGCAGGCAATGCTGCTCCCCCTATTTGTTATCCATCGCTAATGTATTATCTTTTGAGTCGTTATTAAATGTACATTTTTCTTTAAATAAAAAAATTGGGAAACATTTGTTATCACTGTTTCATTACCTCCGCCAAGGAGGTTAAGTTTTCAGGAGACTTTGTGTCTATCTGTCTGTCTGTGTACAGGATACCTTCACAAGTTATGGACACATTTTAATGAAATTTTTATCAGAGGTGTCCCTCATGCTAAAGAATTAAATAAAATTTTGGTGACAATCTGGGGAAAAAGGAATATTGGCTTCAAAAATCGTTCCCCTAAAAATCAGCAGTAGATTTTAAGTATCAGTTAAGATTGATGTCAAAATAATCGGTATCGGCCTTTAAAAGACCTGAATCGGTCAATCTCTAAATATTAACACAGATATTCATCATCAGCTATTTTGTTTATGTGTTCTTGTATGAACGGTAAGCATTTTTTTTAAGGGGGCAGAGTATCTTTTAGGCCTAGGTCTTAAAAGTAAAGGAATAAACGACGTGTCAAACCTGAGGCCCTGGGCCCGGAAATCAATTCGGCCCTTAAGGCCCAATAAAGGCTTATCATGTTATAAAGTGTGCAAAGTGGCTAAAACTGTGAAATCATTGGGAGTAAAGTTATAATAGCTGTGTGCTTTGTGAATAAAATGATGAAAGTTTATCTATACAGCTGCATCTTTTTAGAAAATGATGCTAGACACTACTGATATAAATAAATGGGTTTGATACCTCCAGCTAAAATCATAATTTACGGATTTCCTTAACTCTAATTGTTAAGACATTTTGTTTGAAAAAGAAACAGAAAAGTGTTTAAGATTTATTAGCTGCTACCAAATACCTGCAGCACAGAAGCTAGCGTTTTGAAATTTCACTTAAATAAGGTTTATATCTGGTTAAAATATTGTTCTCTGGTTTGTATAAAAACACATCTCAACATTAAGCTTTAATGCATACATACAGCTTTAATATTCTTTGGCAGACCTTCTTTTGCAAGAATAAATATGTTTGATTTATACACAACGGTATTTTATTTTTCTGGCCTAAAAATGTGCTTTTAAGGGTCAAATAAAACCAATCTATTGAAGCTTTGGGTCCACGTCTAACAATGAAGGTAGTTGAAGCTGAGTAAGAAATCAAAAATATTTCTGACACCATCCGACTTTACTGTTACACACAAACAATCTGCGAAAAAAGGAAAATCCTTTTAAATGTGTTTTCTGGTAGGCTGAGAAATGTTTATTACGTGTAAGAATCAACTTTATAGCAAAGATGGGAACAAAGAAGTGAAAGCAAACGTAGAGAAGATGAGTTCCATAGAATCCTGTGACGTTTAGGACATTTTATTGTGTTACTGCTATAATGAAGAAGTTCACGATAAGTTTGTTGTGCTGACCGTCTAAACCATTACATTTATTTCTAATGTTTTCTTCAATTTCTGACTGCCTTATCTTTTGCAACACAATTTTTCACATTTTCTTGTTTTTGTTTCTCAAGTTAAGCTCCTTTTTGGAAAAAAAAAAGAAAAAAACTAATATCTATGATTGAAAGAGCAATTAAAGTTTAAACTCAAGTTCTGAGAAATTAAACTCTCAACTGGAAGTGTTATTTTTTCTCTCCTTTGTGTAAAGCAATGATGAAGGCAATTGAAGAAACCATGGCAGAAAGCCCATTTCCCTTCATCATCGGATGGCATAAACCCTCATTGTAAACCTTTACTTTACTTTTCTTTAAACAAATGAATAAAAGGTCACTTGGCAGAAATATAAAAACCCTTGTTCCTTAATATTATTGTGCCACTTTTTCAGAATGTATACATCTTGATCACATCACTTTTTTTTTTTTTTTTGCAATAAACAAACGAGATAACGGATGTTACAGGTTGTCTGATTAGAAATGGGTTTTTCTAAAATATTTGCCAAAAACTGAATATGAAGAAACTAGTACTCCTGCCCACTGTTTAGCATGGTAGAGGATGTGTAATGCTGTGAGCCTGTTTTTCTTCTGAATGGATTGTTATTGTGCCCAAGGGGTTCAATGCTGTCTTATTGCATTATTTCACATCAAATTCAAAAGGTCTAATGAATAAAAAATGTCACCAGCAAACTCAAAAGAAAGACCTGCTAAGACAAAAATGAGACTAACACCCTACCACACACACGTGTGCAAAGGAAAATGTTGCAAGAAGCAAAAACGACTGCAAATTACGAAAAGCTGCAACCAACACCGCAAAACTGCTCCAGAGCACTAGGGGGACACAATTATCAACTATATGGGACCAGAGCATAGACATTATAAATGGGAAAAGGGATGTTTGATACGGGCCGAGTGTGAATGTGCAACCTATTCCCTTTATAGCCATTTTATATCACTGTCTGAAGGTCTATTTGATGAAAACACTTCCCTCAATACACATTGACAATTAGCGACATTGGCACTACCCGATCCATCCAGGAAGCACGATTGGCGCATCCAGATCTGGGTCAGTCACCCTCGATTTTATTTTGTTATAAAGACCTTAATGACATTTTTCCCTCCACAAAAAAAGCAAGCTTACAAAAATATAAGTGTTAAAGGTTAATAATGTATTTCCTGAGAAAATAAATGCCTTAAAATCCTTTCTGTTTTAACCTCGTCTCTGCCTGATCTGCACCGGAAATGTGATCCTACGCTACTTCCTGGAGCTAACTTTCTCCACTTTGGATTTAAACATATATCCACTCTTTTTGAGCTTTATATTTTCCTTTCGTGTTAACATTAATGTATATAGTGCGTAATCTAAAGAAAGAAACAACTAAAATGTAGATTAACATTTTGCCGGACTGCTCTGAGCATGCCCGATGACGCCAGAGAAGCAGTTTAACGAAGAAAATGTAAAAAGCATTAAAATTGTCACACAAAAGTCATAAAAAGTTTTTTTTAAGGATGTGTATTAGCATTCTTTAGTGAGTTAACGATAGAAATAGGTAATTTTAGTACCATGTACATCTATTCATGCATGCGAAAGACTGATCGTGTTTCCGGGACGGATCGGGTAGTGACATACATCGATGGTCACTAGATGAGCAGATATATCCCAGAATGCTTTGCAAGACGTCTCTTTGCAGAGCATTGCAGGATTTGCTTTTGGTGGCAATGTTTTCTTTCACCTTTCCTCTTTTAGCCTCCTCAGAAGGTTTAAACTTTGTCCTTGGCTAAGCATGACGAATAGTCGAGCAGGCAGAAAAAGAGGAGAGCTAAAGCCTTAGCTCCAAGCCTGTGGCAGTAAAGCGATACGTTCTTCCAGGTCACATGACCTGGCCAACAAACATCAATCTTCCTCCAACTTACATAGCCGGTATTTTAAGGTGGGAGCCCCGTTCGAAACATTAATACTGTGCATCACAGATGGATTTGCTCCGCATATCCATCTGGAAACCTTCCGTTGAAGTAATTTTGGGAAGGGGCGAAAATACTGGTTAGCTGATTGGCCTATGTTGGTGATAGACGGGCCGAAAAAACCAATCAGATCAACGAAGCATATGACGTACTAACAGAGCGACGACGAAGAGGAGCCAATTGATAGATCAAACTCTTGTCGAAACCAGTCGGGAGAAGAGCAAAATCATCTTTTCCTCTGAGAAAAGCCTCCAGAGCAGTGTTTTGCTCTTCTTTCAGTTAAGAAATACTCTGTAATTCCGATAAAACTTGCTCGATAGCCACGCTAACGCTAGTTTCATCGGCTGAAGCCGCCATGTTCTTTAGACTGAACTGTCTGATTGGACGTTTGTTTGGTGAATGGTTTCAAATTTTCTTTAACGGAAAGTAGCCAGACTGATCTGCGAGTGAAACCTTGAAAGCTCTCGAGATCAGGATGGTCTCATGAGGCTAATTGGCCTGAGGAATAATTGGAAATAACTCATACGCATCAACTACAGTAAAAGTCTGTGGCCTTTAAAAGTGTTCTACAACACGTTTTAACAGACATCCTGCAGCAGAATTAGAATTGAAGAAGGTCATGATATAAATGAAAGAACGTCCAGAGGACATCTGGAAGTACACATGAAAAGATTAATTTCCATTTGAATCTTTTTACACTTGATCTCTCTTAGTATCCCATTTATGTCATTATTAAGGGTCTAGTTTCATATGAGTTGATGATTTCTTGTGGTCTGCAGCCCTTCCGTAGTTTGCAGACTCTTAACTTTAGTACTTTTTGATACTTGCTGCATTTGTTGCGAGCGGTGCATCATTTATCCGTTTACAGCTTGTTTCCACATTGCTGATATTTTCTGTGTAGCAAAGTTTCTTCTTTGCAGCACATTTACTTTAAGAGTGTTTTTTTGTTGGTCTTATTGTCATGTTCGCTGGTCTAATTGTCGAAAAAGCAGGACATTTAAAATTTGCTGTGAAATCATGTATTTACACTTGTTAGCACCCCTTGTTCGCTGTAGACTTTTAAGTGTGAGATTATGTTTTTGCGTAAGAAACCAAATTGACCCTAAGGCTTTTTACACATCTTTATATAAGGGAGCTAATGAGTGTGTATGCGAGAGGGGGTCTGCGTGTCCCCATCATTGTTCTGCCTCTAAAATGTAACATCAATCTGGTGTCATTAGTGTAGTTGTCTCTGTGTAAGTTGTCAGAGATAATGAGCTCATAGACACTAACTGTTCTGGTTCAAAGAATAGGGTTTGCAGAAAGAAAGGTTTATAACAAGACATTTGTCAGAACTGCTAGAAATGAGAAATACCGGATCTATGCAAGAAAGAAAAAACATCCTCAATAAGCTGCAGGATATGCACGAAGAGGATTAAAATCGTTTTGGAACTGATATTTGCATTATTATACAACCATCTGCGTCAGAAAAGGGGGGGAGGGGACCCTAAAAATTGTCCCTCTGCCACAGCTAAAAACCTTGAACTGCTACTAGGGCCAGAATAGATGCTAGATATGCGCAACAAGAAGAAGAAAATCAATAGGAGTAGAAAAGAAACAAACAACTGAAATTATACGGCAAGATTTAAGAGCAGTGGGACGTTCACGGTTTTATTTTTTCATTAAACTGCCTCTTGTTCAGTAAAATAAGGGTCAGCCAGCCATGCGTATGAATCCGCTCTCGACTAAAAGCACAGATATCATTAAATAAAATGGGGGTAAAGAACCTCTGGAGCTCACTTTTCTTTTTCAAGACACAACAAAGTTACTGATTTACAGCAGGAAATGAACATTTTATCAAAAATAATAAATCGGTCACTTAAGCATTTATCTTTTTGAACATTCATGTGTTGGCTTAAAAGCACGGGATCTTTTTTTTTCTGCTTTTCTCATTAAAACCAGTTTATTTAAAACACATCAGACGTTTTTTTTCCACGCAGCCTCATTTTCCCACAGCTCGTGACTCACTTAGACCTCTTGTTTCTCCTCCTTCCTTGGCACCTTCTCATGCAGCTAAAGAATAAAACCTTCCTCTTTCTATATAAACCAGTTAAATCTGACCACTTTTGAGAGCTTGCATCCTCCGTCATCTACTGCTCTGTCCAAACTCGCTTCTTTGTGACGTACAGAAATATTTGCTGCCTTCCTCAGATGACTGCGGGACTTTTATAAGCCACTCGAGGTTAAATGAATGCTTCGAATGCAAAGTTCAGACAGAGAAAGGCCTGTTTTCGGCTGGACAGAAATGTTTCCAGTCCTTCCTTCATGTGTCAGCGAGGCTTAACTCTGTCACTCATGAACTTGTCAGATGGAGATGAATGTGACTTGAACCGATGCCCCAGAGAACCCCTCCTCCTCCTCTCGTCGTCCTCTTTTGAGAGTTCTCCATCATGTTAAGGTCACGTCTTCAAAAAGACGCCGCCTCGGTTGTTCCTCAACTCTTTAAGTCATTAATTCATCTGCTTCCTCTAATCCTTCAGCATCTAAATGTCCTCTGCTATTTCAGGTTTTAAATACTTTTTAATCCCACCCCCCCCACACTGGCTTTCTTCCCATCCATTGTTGCTATTTTCTCTCCCGTTTCTGTGACATTTCCTCTTTTACTAACTTCCCTCCTTCCTTTTTTCTCTACCACCAAGCATTTATGAGACATCACACATCAGTGGCATTCAGGTGAGCAGAAACCGGATCTTGCGTCTCCAAAACTATCTTCTTTGCCCTTCCTCCACCTCCACCACTGACGGGACGAATGCTGTCCAGCCGGCCGCTACGGCCCCTCTCTCTGCGACACTTGAAGACGGCGAGGAAAGCGGCACGGTAGTTGCGATTCATCCAGCCGTACAGCAGCGGGTTGGCGAAGGTGGAGCACATGGCGATCACGTGGAAGATGGTGTAGAGCAGGCGGTAGTCGCGCATGTCCAGCACTGAGCTGTCGATGTCGGTGGCCAGCTGGAAGGCGTGGATGGGCAGCCAGCAAACGGCAAACACCACCACCATGGTCACCAGCATCTTGGTGGTTTTGCGGCGTCTGCGGTGTCGCTCAGAGCTGGCGCTGCTGTTGACGCCGCTCTCTGCTGGGCTGACGTGGCCGCGAAGTTTGGACCAGATGCGGGCGTAGGCGAAGGAGATAATGGAGAGGGGCAGGAAGTACTGCAGGATCAGCATGGAGATGCTGTAGAGGGTACCGTCTGTGCTTTTACCAGGCCACTTCTCCCTACAGAACTGTAATGGGGTAGACAGAAGCACAGGGTCAGCTTAACTACATTGCCAATTTATCTTTTGGCAGGTATTTAACTTAAAACATTAAACCTTTCTGTAAATGTAGAGTACCTCTACTTAGATCTAGACAGATGCTGTTGATATATTCTGAACTTTGACATAAATAAATTTAGGAACCCTTGAATCAGAAAGATTAGTCCAGTCGTCCCCAAAGTCGCCCCTCAAGGGCCGCTGTCCTGCAGGTTTTAGAGGTCCCTTGCTTCAGTACAGCTGATTTATAGGCTTTTGCTCAACTGCAACCATAAGAATCAGCTCTGCTAAAGCTGGGAAATCTCTAAACCCCCCAAGACAGCGGCCCTCGATGACCGACTTTGGGGATGACTGGATTAGTCAGATGTTCTGTCAGTTCCTGCCACCTCAAGAAGGACTTAAAGACTGCAGCACAATTCTTTTTGCTGTTGTCATGGAATAATCAAAATTTGAGAATTTTCAAATTGAAGAGTCACTCAATAATGGTTACATAAGAGATGGGCATTGTGTAGTCACCAGGTTATCTCCATTTCATGTATTTGTGCTGCCAAGCCACTGAAGAGAGTCCAATTTAGTCCCAATTTAGTCCATAGCGGTTCATTGGTAGGGAAGAACTAATATATGGCAAGGAGATAACTTAGGCTGGATCCCAAACCACCCTCTAACCACTAACCCTTAACTGTCAAGTGTCACTCGCTATAAAGTCACACTCGTAGCTAATAATAATAATCGAATTTTATTGATCTCACAGTGGAGAAAGTTGACCTCTGCATTTAACCCATCCCCTTGGGGAGCAGTGGGCTGGTCGGCGGTTAAGGACATTGATCAGAGAGCCATAGTGGCAGTCTGTGGAAGTGGGTTTCAAACCCTCAGCTTCAGGATTCAAAGCTCCAATCTATCTAGGTAAATAAAACTATTTCACATAGGACATTTCATTCAGGAATTGATGTTATTTTTATTTATTTATTTTTCCTAACTAATGATTTTCCTCAGCCACTAGTTCGCCGTCACACCCGCTGCCAAATTCCAGCCAGCATTGACTTGCTGGCTTGACAGACTTGCTATTTAAGGGCTGAAGGTTCCTCTCGTCCTTCCCACTACATGAGTTGGGATGGCCCATATATAAGGCGGACCCTCCGCGGGAGAGAGTTGGTGCTAAGGGTTAGTGTTTAGGGGCCGGGTTGGGATTCAGCTCAAGTGACTTCACAATGCCCATCTCTGGGTTACATTAAATTTAAAAGGGGGTCTTGCTCCGTCTTTCAGAACCTTTTGGAAATATAAAAAACGCACCATTGTTAATACTGACTGCCTTCCACAAGCTGTGCAGCACATCATAGTTACAGCGTCAATCTAAAGAAGCTGGCAGAACCATATTACATCCACTTGGATGTTCTACATGATTTAATATAAACAACATTTTGCTGCGAAATGTTACTTTTATACGCCTCAATGAAGAGTCGACTCCTCCAGTAAACTTTTGTCTATGCTGTCGTAATGTGATTCAACCTCTAAATGTTTTAAAAAAGCATATAAAAAACCAATCACACTCAAGTTACAATAGTGACAACAACTTTAGCTCATATGGTGCTGACTAGTAGCCTCATGAGACCATCCTGATCTCGCGAGCTTTCAAGGTTTTACTCGCAGATCAGTCTGGCTACTCTCCGTTGAAGAAAATTTGGAGCCGTTCACCAAACGAACGTCCAATCAGCGTTGGCTTTGAGGCGGGTTGAGGTGTGACGCAACGAGAAGCGCGACAGTTCAGTCTAAAGAACATGGCGGCTTCAGCCGATGAAACTAGCGTTAGCGTGGCTATCGAGCAAGTTTTATCAGAATTACAGAGTATTTCTTCACTGAAAGAAGAGCAAAACACTGCTCTGGAGGCTTTTCTCAGAGGAAAAGATGTTTTTGCTCTTCTCCCGACTGGTTTCGGCAAGAGTTTGATCTATCAATTGGCTCCTCTTGTCGCTCTGTTAGTACGTCATATGCTTCGTTGATCTGATTGGTTTATTCGGCCCGTCTATCACCAACATAGGCCAATCAGCTAACCAGTATGTTCGCCCCTTCCCAGAATTACTTAAACGGAAGGTTTCCAGATGGATATGCGGAGCAAATCCAGCAAATCCATCTGGCGGAGTCAGGTTAGCTGACTAGTTGCAGTGGGGAAAAAAGTATTCAACTATTCACCCAAGTTAAAGAAATGGTGATCGATGAATTTCACTTAGTCTGCACTTTATTTTCATATCATATAGAGAACAGTTCATTATACGGCCCTTTTACTTGGTAATCAGCCCTGTTTAGATCTGGGCACCATTCGTTCTCCCTTACAATAATGGAAAGTAGTCAGAATCAAAACAAATTACAGACAATTTGGTTAACAGTAACATGTCATGAATAAACCTTGAGAAAGAATCTGGTTTGTTATGGGAAGAAGCTATGCCTGGTCTACAAACACCCTCATGCAGGGGAACTGCCTTGCAGGTGAAACAGGCTGAGTGAAAACTTTTATAGTAAGTAAGAAGTATGAAATAAGAGAAACTAAATTATCCGACCACACAACTCCAATAACATTGCCAGGTCTTTATTATTTTAGCATAGTCATTGTTACCGTTTTGCATGAGGTAGTTTAGCACGCTTTTAAAAGAAAGGATAGAAATAATTACTTTTAGTAATGTTTCCTAAAGCATGTTATTTCTGGTTGCCCATAAACATGATATTGGAACTTGATTAATAAATATTTGATAAGAAACTACATAGACAATAGAAAACCAGGTTGACAGCAACAGAGGATCAAACCGTAAGGTGACAGAAAACACAGACATAAATACCACAGGGATTAAAAAAAAAAAAATTATTCAAATTCAAAAATGAATTGAATTTTTTAATTGACAAAGCTTCCTGGATGGGATGCGAAACGTCTTAAAACATGGAAACAAGTCCAGTGGATTTTTATTTTTTTTTTACTTTTTTGGAATGACTATGACCTGGATGAATCTTCACCAGCATGCCAAAGGGATTGGGAATTATAAAGAAATAAGGGCAGGATTAATAACACAAAAAAAGTTCATTCATATTAATAATTTAGATCTATATACCAGCTCCATGTCAGACTTTTATGTGAAAAGCGACAAAGTAATTCCTTTTTAGAAAGATGAAAGTTAAACGTGTAAAACTGAACCTTTGGTAGCATTCAGGAGTAGAAATTAAGCTAAGTGCAAAAATCAGCACTGAGGGAGATAAAAGAGAGTAAAGGGGTGTAAAGGTAGCAGCTCAGTAGAAAGAAGAATCATGGAGAGAAAGAGTAATAAAAAGGAGAGACGGAGGAATGAAGGAACAGAAAGGAACTACATGATCAAAGCAGAAGGTTGGAGGGAAAAATGTTTGCTTCTTCAGCGTGTGTGTTAAACTGTTAGTACCTGTATGGTGTGCCCTGGCTCCAGCGTAAATGAGCCATACTCTCTAAAGATGGCCATAGGGCTGGCGAGCACGGCACTCAGTACCCAGGTTAGCGCTATCACCCCGAAGCACACATCTTTCCTCATCCTGGTCTCCAGGTGGTACACGATGCACCTGGAACACACAAACATGGCCTGAGTCCAGCTTGTAAAACATCCACTAATGATCGCCACTGATCTATTATGGATGGTGGAGCTGATGAGAATTTCATGAAAGGCTGAATCAAGCAGCAGAAGAGTGCTCTGACCTTGTAATATTCCCATTTAACCTACTGCCTGCATTGGGAGAACTGGTACAGTAGCTGTATGGATTATTTAAGTTGTGTCTCTCGCCTGGGAGCAGTTTGTTATTTATTAGGCTTCCTAGTGGTTTTATAATCCCAATTAGAGCCGAGAAACACAACTCTTAAAAGGAGAATTAAGAATCTTTATTGTCATCATTACAGTATCACAAAATTCCTAGAAGGAGCACATTATATGGAGACGATCTTAAAAAACAACAGTAAAAAATTTTAAACAGCTTTATGGTGCATACACAACAAACACAAAACCTGCATGGAAAAACAAATAAACAAAAAAACACTTAGCTTGCTTGACATATGTGTAGAAATTTGCGGGGTGTGACATTAATCATGACATTAACACAGTGGAAAAGGCTCCACTACAGTAGCAGCCATTCAAAATGGCTCTTCCCAGTCAAAAGCCAGCCAAATAGCAGCAACATCCCCTCCAACTTCCAGCCACTAGAGTAATCTGACTCCGCCAGATGGATTTGCTCCGCATATCCATCTGGAAACCTTCCGTTGAAGTAATTTTGGGAAGGGGTGAAAATACTGGTTAGCTGATTGGCCTCTGTTGGTGATAGATGGGCCAAATAAAACAATCAGATCAACGAAGCATATGACGTACTAACAGAGCGACAACGAAGAGGAGCCAATTGATAGATCAAACTCTTGTCGAAACCAGTCGGGAGAAGAGCAAAATCATCTTTTCCTCTGAGAAAAGCCTCCAGAGCAGTGTTTTGCTCTTCTTTCAGTGAAGAAATACTCTGTAATTCCGATAAAACTTGCTCGATAGCCAAGCTAACGCTAGTTTCATCGGCTGAAACGCTAACGCTAGTTTCTTTAGACTGAACTGTCGCGCTTCTCGTTGCGTCACACCTCAACCCGCCTCAAAGCCAACGCTGATTGGACGTTCCTTTTGGGAACGGCTCAAAATTTTCTTCAACGGAGAGTCTCCAGACTGATTTGCGAGTGAAACCTTGAAAGCTCGTGAGATCAGGATGGTCACACGAGGCTAAGAGCAACCCCCTCTCGCATATTTTTTTACTCTGCCTCCGCCCTTTCCCTGAATTACAGGGTCTGACTAGGAGATAATGCATCTCTTAATGTCCACAAATCATGACAGACAGGATATTTTAGATGTTTAAAAACGAGGTAGTAGGGGACTAGCCAAGGACCCATCAAGAAAGGGGAAATTTTGAATTGCAAGTACCGTAGGTCATTGAATCTGCAAGTTGACAATTTCACCTCTACATGGCGGACATTCATTTAGTCCAGGGCTGAAACAATTAGTCAGAAATAATCGTGATTAATCGATTTAAATAATAATTTAAATAATTGTTAAATAATTCAGTAATCAATAAATCACAAACTGAAGTACAGAGACAGTAAAATAGACCTTTAGCTGAGAGAACAACCCATTTAGAGCAGCAATTATATCAAAATTGTAAGAAAAAATAGATAAACATTTTGCATTAAAAAAAATTTTTGTCTGTCAATATGCTCCATCCAGAACTCCTAAAGGGGGAAAGTTTTAGTTTCACCTGGTTTACATTTGTAAAAATCTCCCTTAAGGAAATTTTTGGCTATCTAATAAATAATCTGTTGGGATCTGGAGCTGTACCACCTTCCTCCAGCAGAGTGCGCCGTGGGTCTCCTGGAGCTGAGGTCTTCCAGCACACCTGAGACGTATCTACTCATCAGGAGACCTGCCCTTTATAACCAGCTGCCAGACCTTGCTTCGACGCCGCAGTGTTGACCTTAGTTTGGTTAGCAACCTGAGCCTTGAAACTGAAAAGAATCTTAGCTATCTCTGGAGAGAGATCAGATTCTAACTCTCTTCTGTTTTTGCATCACAGGAAACCTGTCTCTAGCCAGAAGCTCTGGATGAGCTTAACCTGCCAATCTGCCCTGGAGAGCCAAACCTGAAGATTCCTATGTGGATTCCCCTGCTGCTCTTAGTTAAGAGCTGGAAACTCTGATCAAGGTCTGCCATTAAAGTCAGAAGCTAGACGCTGCAGCTGCTCTGGAACTCTGCTGAACAAACAGTCTCTGGACCCAACGGTTCCCCCTCTCTCAAAGAGAAGCCCGGATTCAGTCAAGGTATAATTCTGAATTATCAAAGATTCATTCTCATCAGCCTGCCTACTAATCAAACTATCTTCTCATCAGACTTCTGTGAACCAGCCCGGACCAGCCCCTGACCCAGTACATTGTCTCTTTATTGTAAAACATTCATTAAACCTTGTTTAACTTTTACCCAGCCTCCGTTGTGTTCTGCATATGAGCTAAGAACCTGAACCCATCATGACATAATCAGAAAAATAATCGACATATTAACATATTTGCAAAATAATCATTAGTTGCAGCCCTAATTTTGTCGTTAGTTTACTTTATCAATTTTATGTTTCAATTGAATTCAATAAAATGTATTTATATAGCACCAATTTAAAACACATGTCATCTGAAGGCACTTTACAGAGACAGTTCAACCAGATCATACAGTTAGATCGGTTTAGTTACTGTAAGAACAAAAGATTTCAGCTGTTGGACCAGTGGTTGCTATGGAGATTCCCGCCTCTTCTGGTGTTCAAAAGGATTCAACTTGAATTTTAATCTTAGTTCTGAGCCTTTGTAGGAAATTGCGCAGTAAATTAGCAGTTGATAAAAGTGGAGAAAAAATATTTATTTTAATGAATCATTTGTGTTGGTGGAAGGTGAAACAGGGTTTTCCTATTCATTTTGCCAAAACATTGCTGTTCCAAATATTGCATTAAGAGTTTATCAATTTTATGCATTCAACTTATTTAGATGCATCTGTATTTTTTTATGTTTCCTTACAGCTCCAACACTTTCCAGCCAAGTGTAAAATTTGATTACTTTTCCCAAACCCTCATCTTTTATTCAAAATATGAATTATAATCCAATCATCACCGGTTTAGGAAAACAAATTAAGCTTAAAAAGCTTTCTCTGAATTTAAGGCCTAAATGACTGAATGAAATACCAACCTATAGTATCCGTCATAGCTGCAGTGTGGGCTGATGATCAGATTCTATCAGCAATATCATTAAAGTTGTAGAGTTTTTCACTGTCACCATTCCTTTCAAAGGCTGAGGATGCGGATGCATACATAAAAAAAACAAAGCTACTGGAGAGGTTTAGAGGATGACTTTAATACAACTTAATTCTACTTAGAGAAGTTGTTCTCCAGACAATTAAGAGAAATTGCAGATCTACACTGAACTAGGGAAAAGTGGGCTTGTAGTGAGACACATTTAACGCGTAGGCGGACGGAGGAAGAAAACTAATATGGCTCCCGGCATTTTTCACAAAGCAAAAGAGATAAAGTCTTTAAGACAGAAAAATAACTTACAGTGTTGTAAATGTGCAAAACTGGGAAGAAATACACATTAAAAGATGTTTTGACTCCCATGGGAGAGAGAAAGCAATCTCTTCCTTGTCTCTTCTTTTGTCTATTATCTGTCACACAAAAATGTCAATAACATATAGGCCTACTGATGTTTAAAGTTTAAAATTAGCAATAAGTGAAATTTCACCACTAGGTGAGCTATTGAACACTGTAGCAGTAGAAGTAATTAAATCATAACTTAATAATTCTGACTACAAGAGAACCTCATGTTGGCAAATCATCGCCTTCATGTGAATTTTACAACCGCTTGGATGTGATCTCCTCCATTTGGCCCCTAAGCTGCATTCTCTGGGCAATAAAGGGGCTAAGCCATGAGTGGCAGCTAGTTTCATGAATGTGCATGAATTGCAGCCAGTCCAGCCAGTAAACATGAGACCAGAGAACCACACAGAGGAATGGTGTGTGACGTCACACCATATTCCATCTTAAAATATTTATTGAGTTCTTTACAGTTCTCTGTATGTATGATAATTATTATAGCTTATTGCAACTGTTACAGCACAGGTGATTTGTTCAGAGGCGCAATGTTATCTGGGATAAAAAAAGAAAAACTTATGATTATTGAAGTTATTTTGAATAGATCTTCTTAGCTCTTTAGTAAAAAGAAGATTATTTTGAGGGCAGATCTGAAAGCTGCCCCATGTTATGCCATAGTAGCCTCCTGTGACCAGGAGGCTACTATGGGAGGAGTCGACCAGAGTCGACTCCTCCAGTAAACTTTTGTCTATGCTGTCGTAATGTGATTCAACCTCTAAATGTTTTAAAAAAGCATATAAAAAACCAATCACACTCAAGTTACAATAGTGACAACAACTTTAGCTGATATGGTGCTGACTAGTAGCCTCATGAGACCATCCTGATCTCGCAAGCTTTCAAGGTTTCACTCGCAAATCAGTCTGGAGGCTCTCCGTTAAAGAAAATTTGGAGCCGTTCACCAAACGAACGTCCAATCAGCGTTGGCTTTGAGGCGGGTTGAGGTGTGACGCAACAAGAAGCGCGACAGTTCAGTCTAAAGAACATGGCGGCTTCAGCCGATGAAACTAGCGTTAGCGTGGCTATCCAGCAAGTTTAATCTGAATTACACAGTATTTCTTCACTGAAAGAAGAGCAAAACACTGCTCTGGAGGCTTTTCTCAGAGGAAAAGATGTTTTTGCTCTTCTCCCGACTGGTTTCGGCAAGAGTTTGATCTATCAATTGGCTTGTGCCTGGCTTGTGGTTGTGTTATCGTCGTCGCTCTGTTAGTACGTCATATGCTTCGTTGGTCCGATTGGTTTATTTGGCCCGTCTATCACCAACATAGGCCAATCAGCTAACCAGTATTTTCGCCCCTTCCCAGAATTACTTAAACGGAAGGTTTCCAGATGGATATGCGGAGCAAATCCATCTGGCGGAGTCATGTTAA